CAGAACTGCCGCCAGTGTCTTCACTGCTGTGCCATTTTAGAGATGCACTCACCAACACGAAGATGCTAAAACACCAGGGCCCTGTCTACCACTGCTGCCATCAATGGAGGTAGTAGTGCAGCTGCTGGAGAACTGTGGAAAAAGGCAAGTGGAGACAGCCAACATGCAGACCAGAAATGAATCACCACACCAGAAAGAAGAGGGGAAAACCCAGAGTCCTATTTCTGAGGTGAGGGATTACTAGTATCAGGAGACTGTGAAGGCTCCTCCTAGCAACTGCTGCTGTACCCCATCTAGAGTGATGGACAGAGGAAAGGCTATTGAGGCAGGTATTTTGAGGACTTTGTGTCTGGTGGGAGAACGTAGGGACTAAATGTTTCTGTGCCCTTGTGTGTAATTGTGTTTGTTGCTTTGGGGGAGGAGCACAGAGGCCTGTAGATTACACAGTCAGTTTCCTGTGATCCACTCACTCCCCCATATGGAGAGAATCGGAGGGAGGGAGATGGGGAATGACTTGGAATCTCTGAGGCCATGTCACAGAGTTAGAGTCTAATCCAGCCTCCCTTGTGCACTCAGAACTCCCACTGAAGTCCATGGGAGTTTTGATTGTGTTTGTTATTTTTTGGCATTCATCCCATTATAAACAGCAGATGAATTTCTGCATTAAATATTATTTATTGGCAACCAAAATGCACCACAAACGATAATAGCCATTGGGTGTCTTAAAATACATTTTATTGCCCTGTTTTTTTCCCCATTCAATATATTTAAATGCATTTTGACAGAACCAGTGGAAAGTGGATATTAAGGGTGAAATCCTTGCCCTTGCTGAGGGTACGTCTACACAGCAGGGCAAAAGTCAAATTAAGCTACACAACTTCAGCTACATCAATTGTGTAGCTGATGTTGAAATAGTTTAATGCACTCTTGGCGCTGCCTACACCACAGGAAGTCGAAGGAAGAACACTCTTCCTTTGACTTCCCTTATTCTTTGTCAAATGAGGGTTACAGGAGTCAGAGTAAGAAGTCCTCCAGCTCAACATTATTTCAAAATTATAACTAGCAGTGCAGACATGCTCTTTATTATTTTGAAATAACGCTGCTGTGTCGCTCTTTATTATTTTGAAATAACGCCAATTATTCTGAAATAACGCTGCTGTGTAGACATACCCTGGGAGTTTTGCTGTTGACTTCAGTACGACCGTGTTTACCACAAGGTCAGCGATGGAGATTCATAAAATAACCACATGAAATTTTGCAGTGAGGATGGCGAATATAAAATTTGGTGAAAGGGAGCTTTAAAAGAACTCGGGATTCTCAAACCCTTCAGCATTGTAGGGCCAATTTCTGTGGCATGAGAAGAGAATTATGGGATGTGACACATCTGAGTGAATTGTGGCATAGCTGCATCTGTTAAACTTGTGAATTCCAGCCACTCAAAGCACTTTGCTGCAATTCCAGAAAGCCAAGCATGCCATAATTGCAAGGCCATGAGACTCATCTAGCCATTTTGATATTCTTGGATGCAGAAATGGAAAAACAAATCACAGGAAGATATAGAATACCAGACAGTCACATCTATCACAGCCAAGGAGCAGTTTCTCCAGAGAAGCATTTGGAAAAGGTTAGAATTTATTCTAATGACGCTGTACAAAGCAGAGCTGACATGTGAAACCTAACTTCTAAATTCTCCAACTGGCACTAAGTGTGGATAAGATGTCAGCCAAGTACTTTTGACCATTGACAACTTTTATGTAGAAAGATATGGCTCTGAACGAATGTCATCTGTATGCTACACTGTCCTTTTGGAAAAACCCTACGGGCTTTAATATCAATGAAACTAATCAAGTTATATATAAATAACTCTAAAACCATACAAAATTCAATATGAAATCAAACTCTTTCTATATGTGTTATAAATCATTGCACAGAATATAATAGAAAATTATGTCCCCATTTTAGAAGCCCAGAGAATGGTTTATAATATGCGTAGAAAACTTTTTTCTGTTGTATTCAATGCCAGAGGGAACTCAGTGGCTATACTGTCCAAGTGGAGTGCTAATAGCCTGTGGGAGAGGTACTATTTTCTTGGGATCTTTTCCTCAAGACAGGCACAGAGCAGGAGACAGGAGTCCTTGGAGTGAGAGATGGAAAGAGACCTTTTAGACTATTTATTCTAGCTCTCTGCCTCTGTAGGATTGGTCACTACAGAACAATTCTAATGCAGGAGGAGAAGAGAAATGAGGCAATGGGCAATAAGGGAGGAAGAGAAGTCGGGGAAACAGATGACCTTCTGAGGGAGAAGGGATGATCTAGAAAGGAAGATGGGTAGGAGGGAAGAGAGTACCCATGAATTGTGCAGCTGATCAGAAAATATTAATTTATTTAATCTTTGATTAGAAAATGCTGTTTCGACAAAGGCCAAAATATTCCACAAAATTGTATTGATTCTGATGGGATTTTTTTTTCAAAAATGGTTTAAAAAACTATAGTCTCAATTTGGGACTAATTTTTTTTATCTTGTTACTTTTGCAGGGGGGACAATATGTCCTGGCCAGTTCTAATGAAAAATCTATGAGGGGAGAGAGTATTAGGGTTTAAGGGAGCCAGCTGAGTTGGGCTGGAGGGGCAGAAAGATTCCACAGAGAGATCAGGGTGAGACTGGGAAAGGATGCAACTTCATATAATCTATGAACAGAGACAGACAAGGATAATCAGCATCAATATAACAAGGGAATAGCGGTGTTCCTCTGGAAAGAGGAGAAGTAAAGCAAGCTTGTTTTGATTTAAGACATATTTCATTTTTAAACTGAGTTCACTGCAGATTGTTGGCGAGGAAGAAGAAACAAGTGGAACGAGGCTGTCACATTCTTGCACTGAGCACTGCATTCAGTCGATTGCGTAATTTTCTGAGAGTAACTCTGTATTTTGACTGGATCACTCTCCACTTCCATGAATCAAAGATAATAAATGTAGTAATTATAATATCATAGCCATCCCCTGCTTAAACAAACCCAGTAGCAGTAAGCTTTTGGAAGAGGGAAATGAAAAAAAAAAACCCCACACATCAGGCTCACACAGACAAAGCATTAAGCCTCCAACATGTACAAAGTCTTTTGGAGCAATTTACCCCCTTTTCCTTCAAGATATGCTATAAACTCCATGGGTATATCTACACAGCAACATTATTTTGAAATAACTTGATCCACGTCCACACAGCAGGCAGTTATTTTGAAATAATGTCAAAATACTGTCAAGCTGGAGGACTTCTTACTCCGACTCCTGTAATCCTCAGTCTAGGAGCAGCAAGGGAAGTTGGAGGAAGAGTGCTCTATTTCGAAATAAGTGCTGTGTAGATGCCCCCAAGTTTGAAATAAGCTATTTTGGAATAAGCTACACAATTGATGTAGCTCAATTTGTGTAGCGTAGTTCAAGTAAAGCCCTGCTGTGTAGACGCACCCCAGGAGACATGGATAGAAAACAGGCCTCTCCAGCAAACTGTGACTTGCGAAGGACAAAGACATGCGTCATCCATGTCCATAGTTTTTCACTTCTGCTTCAGCAGTCAAAAATTCTTTCCAGGACAAAGGAGGAAAAGGGTCCAATTTTCAAATGTATTTCAATTATGTCCTGTTGTGCATCCTGCATCAAGGTTCTAGTCGTCTTCTTCAGACGCCTCGGAAAGGATCTGATGCAGAACCCATCTACATTAATGGAAAACAACCGCCACCAGAACAACCACCTCCTCCTATTGAGTTCAGTGGAGCAGGTCAGACACTGTGGTGGGCTCTTCAGCGCCTACACTTCCAAAACATGCAGGCTGTGTCTACATTAGCAAGATTTTGTGCAAAAGCGCTTGCTTTTGTGCAAAAACTAGCTGCCTGTCTACACTGGCCGAGAATTGTTGCGCAAGAACACTGACATTCTAATGTAAGAAATCAGTGCTTCTTGTGCAAGAACTATGATGCTCCTGCTCAGGAATAAGCCCTCATGTGCAAGTGTTCTTGCACAAGAGGCCAGTGTAGACAGGCAACATGAATTTCTTGTGCAAGAAAGCCCGATGGTTAAAATGGCCTTTGGAGGTTTCTTGTGCAAGAGAGCGTCTACACTGGCACGGATGCTTTTCCGCAAAAGCACATCTCTTGCGCAAAAGCACATGCCAGTGTAGACGCTCTCTTGTGCAAATACTCTAACGTAAAAACTCTTGCGTTAAAGAGTATTTGTTCAAAATCTTGCCAAAGTAGACGTAGCCACAGTGTCTCCACACACCTAAGAGAATGTTGTCACCAGCAGGAACAATGAGGTTGAAAGAAGCCAGGATAGAACTCACAGGAGTCAGCAATAAGACATTCTCAGTGCAGGACTCTTGATTGCAGACCCACCCACCTGCCACTGAAGATACCTTAAACCAGAGTTCTTGCCAAATGCAAAACACAATGAAAAACTCATTGCCATGTATAAGCTCACTGTAGTAAAACAGCAGCTAAATAGAATGTCAATATCTTCTCCCAATCTAGCTACAAAATCACACAGTGAAGGGCACATTAAATATGTGTGGGTTTCATAAGTAAAACCATGAAATATTATAGATAAAATAACCCATTTTAAGAGCTTATAGCCATTGCGTCCCTCACCCCCATTTCATACCCATTTGTATTCAATGCAGCTACTCTGGAAGCATCTCTGAAACCTCCCAAGAGATCTGTCATAGTTTTCCTACTTTCCATGGGTTTTTAAAGTTAATTTATATCAATTCTTCAATATATTCAGACATTTTCTTTACTCCATTCACTGCAGATATCACCAATTATTTAAGGTAAAATACAGCCAGATCATTTCACCACAACCAGAAGCATAATTTATCATCATCTTAAGTATATTCAATTAGGGCTCATTAAAGTCAATGGCAAAACTCCTATTTAGTGGAAGAAGGATCAAGGCTTTAATTTACACCTTGTGGGAATAAAGTGCATGGTAACAGAAACGCTTGAAATACATACGGGATTCCAATTTCAAACAGATTATTCTGAATAAGTTGCTTTCCAAGCATAATGATGCTCAGCTGAATACAAAGTTCCATCAAACAGCCTCCGGGAGCACACTGTAATGGAAAGGAAAGCACAAACTGTTAGTGAATTAGGACAAAGGCAGGAGGAACCAGTGACTGCTCCTTTTAAATTAATCTTGAAATTAACTTTGCATTCATTATAAGACTGATTTTGAATTTCCCCACCTAACTTTGTCAGTTCCAAGGAAACCAATCTCTCAAGTTCCACATGTCGGATTTCTAACCCCGGAACAGAATTTTACCAGGATTTTTTTCTGTGGGAACTAGAAAAGGGCAGGGAACTAGAAAAGGAGTTTTATAGTTGTGAAGCAAAATTTGCAAAATGTTTTTCAGTGAAGTTTAATTAGAATCCAAAAGATATAGTAAGCAATAATTTATATTCATTGTATGTCAGAACATAAAAGCGGCCATACTGGGTCAGACCAAAGGTTCATCCAGCCCAGTATCCTGTCTGCCATCAGTGGCCAATACCAGATGCCCCAGAGGGAGTGAGTAGAACAGGAAATCATCAAATGAACCCTCTCCTGTCATCCATTTCCAGCCTCTGAAAAACAGAGGCTAGGGACTCCATTCCTATCCATCCTGGTGAATAGCCACTGGTAGACATAAACTCCATGAATTTATCTAGTTCTTTTTTTTACCCTGTTTAAGTACTGGTCTTCACAACATCCTCTGGCAAGTAGACAGGTTGACTGTGCCCTATATGAAGGGAATTTTATTTTTCTTTGTTTTAAATCTGCTACTTATTCATTTCATTTGGTGACCAGTGTCCCTCTAAGCTGTGGGGAAGCACAGCTTCACAGGTGATTAATCAGCCCCGCCCAGTCAGAAGCGCAGGACCCCGTGCAAGGAACTGACTGACTGGATGGGGATGATTAATCACCTGTGCAGCTGTGCTGCCCTGCAGCTTCCCTCTTATCCCATGACAACTTAATTGACCTAAGAGCCTTTGGTGAGGGACCTTGTCAAAGACTTTCTGGAAATCTAAGTACACTATATCGACTGGATCCCCCTTGTCCACAAGTTTGTTGACCCCCCTCAAAGACCTCTAGGAGATTAATAAGGCATGATTTCCCTTTACAGAAAAAACCATGTTGACTTCCCCCAACAAATTCTGTTCATCTATGTGTCTGACAATTTTATTCTTTACTATAGTTTCAACTAATTTGCCCGGTACTGACTTCAGACTTACTAGTCTGCAATTGCCAGGATCATCTTTAGAGCCCTTTTAAAATATTGGTGTCACATTAGCTATCTTCCAAACATTAGGAACAGAAGCTGATTTAAAGGATAGGTTACAAACCACAGTTAATAGTTCCACAATTTCATATGTGAGTTCTTTCAGGACTTTTGGGTGAATGCCATCTGGTCCCAGTGACTTGTTGCTGTTAAGTTTATCAATTTGTTCCAAAATCTCCTATAATGATGCCTCAACTTAGGATAATTCCTCAGATTTATCACCTAAAAAGAATGGCCCAGGTTTGGGAATCTCCCTAACATTCTCAGCCGTGAAGACTGAAGCAAAGAATTCATTTTGTTTTTCTGCAATGACCTTATTGTCTTTAGCTATGTCTACACTACAGGTTTTTGAGGCAGAGAGTATACTAATGACGGACTCTTTAGCATGAGTCGCGATGTCATTAGCATATTTTCTGCCGATGTTTTTTGCGCAAGGAAGTTTTGCGCAAAAAGAAGCAGTGTAGCCGCAAGATCCTTATGCCTCTCCCAGAGGGGCAAAAGTTGGGCCTCTATTATTATTTGGTCTCTATTATGGTGCCTTTGAAAAGTTTCCATACAGCTTGCAGGGATTTTACTTTTATCAATGTACCTTTTAATGTCTGTTTAACTAACCTCCTCATTTTTGTGTAGTTCCCCTTTCTGAAATTCAGTGCCCACAGTGTTGGGTTGCTGAATGTTTTTCCCACCACAGAGATGTTAAATTTTATTACATTATGATCTCTGTTTCCAAGAGGTCCAGTTATATTTACCTCTTGGACCAGATCCTGTACTTCAATTAGGACTAAATCAAGACATGCCTCTCCCCTTGTGGGTTCCAGAACCAGCTGCTCCAAGAAGCAGTCATTTAAGGTATCAAGACATTTTATCTCTGTATCCCGACCTAAGGTGAGGTGTACCCAGTCAATATGGGGATAGTTGAAATCTCCCACTATTACTGAGTTTTTTATTTTGATAGACTCTTTAATCTCCCTTAGCATTTCTTAGTCACTATCACTATCGTGGTCAGCTGGTTCATAATATATACCTACTGCTATATTATTATTAGATCATGGAATTACTACCCATAGAGATAATATGGAACATTTTGGTTCATTTAAGTTTTTTACTTCATTTGATTCTGCATTTTCTTTCACGTATAGTGCCATTCCCCCACCAGCATGAACTAGTCTGTCCTTCTGATATATTTTGTACCCCGGTATGACTATGTCTCATTGATTGTCCTCATTCCACCAAGTTTCTGCAATGCCTATTACAGTAAAACTACAATAGTCTGGCATCCAGTGGTCCGGCACTCCTGATGGTCCGGCACCAACTGGAACCCGGAAGTGCTTCGGCCAGCTGGACAATTGGAGCTGCTTCGTGCCGCTTCCCTAAGTCCACTGCTGCTGCTGCTGAAACTGGCCAGCAGCGGGCTTTTGGGAGG